ACCAAAGTCACTCTACTTCCCTCTCTTCCATTTATGAATTCTTTTTACCTCTCAGCTGCATGATATAACAATACTTTATACCTCAATTCCGAAACACGCATCTACTTCCTGTATAATTTTTGGTTCTGCTTTATACATTCAAGAATAAAATACTGTAAAAATGATTTTAGTGATTCACAAGACAAATCACTTTTCTAACACTACTCCAGTAATAAGAATAAAGCATTTGCCTCATTCACTGTTACGGCTTTTCTATTCCCACATTCTGCTAATAGCCTTTTCAGTGAAATTCCGATAGTTTCATTTACCTAATAGCCATAACTATTTCCGTCCCCTACAACGAAAATCTGTTGGCTTCACAAGAAACTAGCGGAACAGAAGTAGTATACCAATTAAAAAAAACAAAAAATGTGTTAACAAGAATGAAAAAGCAGCGACGAAACAAATTAGAAAATATGGAGTGTATTTTGGCGAGAAATCAAAAACCAAGGCCAAATCTCCTCTTGTATTTCATGATACAGAAGAAACGGAGAAATCTGAGCTAAGCCGAATGACTTCACTTTGTTCACAGAATGCAGCCAACAGCTACGCCCTCGAGTTGTTAAAAAGAAAAAAATTTTATAAAGAACAATATTGGAAAAACGCAATGGGGATCAAAAAAAAATGTTAAAATGAGCTAAAATTCGGCCAGTATGTTAAATCAGCAACAGGCATTTGTACACTTGTACAGCTGTCACAACAATCTGCGTACATGACGAATTCGATAGCTGCGAGCGCAGGATTTTGAAAAAGAGGCTTTCATGAACAAAAAAGGGCAAAAGCTTAAGAACACTTTTCTCACTCTCTCCCTCTGCCTCGCCCCGTAATCTTTTCAGTAATGAAGTTTCCGAGTAAGCACATGAATACGAGCAATCGTTTTGTGAATACTGTGCAGACTGTAAAGATCGCAGCTATGTTTCCTACCTTCGAATTTCTTGACTCGCACAGCAGCTCTCTGCTTGTTGAGCAGCGAAGCACTATCTGGCGTTTTTACCTGTAGGCCATGTGATGCAGGCGGAGCCGATGGCTTCTGTCCTGAGTAGGAGACGCGCTCACCATCTTGCCGGTGGTGAGCAGTTTTGATGACCTGAAAACAACATGTCTTAAGAGATCCACAATACGTGACAGAAACTTCGGAAAAAATAAAAATTTCAGACGTTGCTTGGCAGGCAATGCTGTATTGTGTAAAACTTAACCATTGAAGATTTTTTTCATTCGATGTACCTGATTTTCCGTGAAACTGGCCTGTGTGCCGAGCTGTGCAAAGAGATTGACGCGCTGTTTCACCATACCACGGTTGTTTGTATTTATTGAAAGCACACTTGGTCGTGGTCCACGTGGTATGTAAGCGGGCCCAGCCATAATGTCCTGAAGTAGTCTAAGAAAGTAATCAACTGAAGTAAATTTGAAACAAATAATAGCGCATATATGTGTGCGCTTGCTGTGTATTGGCGCATCCCAGCTGGCCATATGCACAGCCTAATACA